GTTGATCTCAACCTAGTATACAGCGCTTCGCTAATCTCGTCCTTTTTTTTCATGGCGAGTATTTCTTTATTATGTCTTTTTTGTCTTTTTCAATTTTTTCATAATCAAGCTGTCTGTCAGATTCCTCCTCTCATAAATTGTTCTGCCTGTAATGAATATTTCAGTTTTTTTTCATATGTCTCCTTTTTCATTACACAAAAACCCACCTCCTTATCAAACGGCACTGCCAGAAGACCGTTGTCCTTCAAATACTTTCTGGCTTTTTCAACACTTTTGTCAGAGGGGGTCTGTTTCACTTTCTTAGCATATCTCTTTGCAGCTGCTTCAATCTCACATATTTTTTCTCCGGGTATTCTATTTAACTTCAGTTCAGACAAAAATTTATCAATGTCAGCGAGGAAGTGAATTTTTTTTGAATTTGTCTCGTACCGGATGTTTTGGTCCAAAAATTAAGACTTCCCGCACCCAGAGCGGCAAAATCGTTTCATCTAAACTTCTAACTGACCTTTCATCCAAGTTTTTTAATGGTCTATCCTGTCTTTCCGAAGGTTTTTCAAGCTTTCTCTTGTGTCGGCTTATCAGATTATTGACACTACACCTTGCTTGCCGGGTCAGATAGAATATTACCGAAGGCCACCACTTCTCATCTATACCCCTTCTCACTACCTCTCTTGTTTTACTAGGTTACCCGATGCCTTGGCCCTATCCGCATTTGCCTGGCTTATCTCAGATCTCAAGACCTCAGTTGGAAGCTGTGCATCGCTCGATCCGAAAAAAAACACCGTTATCAGGCACGCGAAACCGTAAAAAATCTAGTATAATGTCGTTAACGAGGCATTTTCGCAGAAATTTAATTCTCAGGAAAATGCTATTAAAATTATTAAAATGTTTTAAACAATCTAACACAAGTTTCCAAGTGAGTTTTCTTTTCAGGACCAATCTAACGAGTGGTGGTGGCAGCAAAATTGCGTTCATCTGTTCGTTGCAGGCCACGAGTACTTAAACTCTTGTGGCACTCAGCAAAGCAAAAAAAAGCCAAAACAAAATCTTACCACTTATTGGTCATTCAGTTCAGGCTAGAGGACCCCAGCCAACACCTCCGCTCTCCGCGCCTTTGCCCTGCGGCGACCCTGCGATGGTTTCTTGGTCTGGGACCGTATCCTTGAGAAAATGCCTGGCAGGTGGTCTCGATGGGATATTACCACCCGGAGTGACTTCAACTCCAATTCACTTGACAGGTGCAGTTGAAGATATTCTCTGAGGACCGCAGGATTCTGTCTCTTACTTCTAGAGATAAGGCTACCAGTTGATTTTATGACGATTATCTCTGTCTTCCGCAGATCCTCAAAAATATCGGGAGTGCCCGTTCTCCTGCAGTAATCAATGCCACTAATTTGTCTCGCTTCGATTGTAAAAACGCGAGTTGTTCATCAAGTGGGCAGGGCGTATAGTTATTCGTGCGATGGGAGGATATGCTGTTGTTCAGCACGTCGTGCAAGATAATAATCTGCTCACTGGCCAGAGGTTGCTGTTCCACAGGTTGCAGTACACTCTTAAATCCTTTCCCCTGTTCAAGGTATTGGGGTTCAAAGAAAGGCCAGGGACTGCGTAGACCTTCTGCTGCGTCTCTCTCCGTTCCTGTTGCTCAAGATCTTTCAGGCTGTGATTTTGAGAGCTGGCAGCTACAATCATCGCCATTTCAACTCAAACACTACTGACATTATGAACAAAAAGCGGTAGTAAAATTCTGTACAAATAGAGAAAAAAAAATCGAACTAATGACTGTTTTCCTTAAAGGAATATAACAGTTTTCTTATAGCTTATCGCTAAAAAGGGTTAGAATTTAACAAAAATGGTTATAAGAAGTGTTTATGGTTATAAGATGGTTATAAGAATTCAAAAACAGTTTTTTGCTTAATTATCGAAGAAGTCAATCGAAAAAATTGTAAAATCGAAAAATTAGTATCAGGAAACGCGAAGTAACGAGAAGATTTTAGTTTTGTGGCTAATTTTTATGCTAACATGTAAGTTGTTTCAAAATTTTGTTGTTTTAGCCAGAATTTTTCGATTCTGGAAATATAGCCTTAGTGTCAGCTCCCCACTTCTAAACTCGTCGCGCGTGTTAATTGCCGGTCTCTCTTTCCTAATATGCAGCGCCTCTAATGTAAGTAACTTGATGCTGCTGGACGCCTGGTCGATTATTTTCCAATTAAACTCAGACTTACCACGCTCACTACCACACTGCCTTATACCACACAGCTAAGTTCCAAGCTATCTGAAAACCCTTGACAACGCCCCACACTCGGGCTCTTTATTAAGGTTACTGGGTTAAATTACTAGGTTGATCGAAACGATCGAACTTGTAAAACAGTATGGGTATACTATTTAATTAATATAAAGGTTTGATCCAACTAATCTGGTGTCAAAGTCACTGTCTTTTTTCGTTTTATGGTTTTTGTTTCGCTTTTTGTCTTTTTGCTCGTGTTTGTCCCCCTAGTTGCCCCCCTTTACTCGGTTAGCTAAGCCTCGTTCGGAGAGCGTACCAGGAAGTTTTCTCGAGTTTTCTTAAAAAGCTATCACGGTACAACCGGAAGGTTTGCACGTTCCTGTCGAACCGCACCGCCGGTACTCTAGAATGGGCATTCAGCCCGAAGCTGTCTCAAGTGGGTTCGACTCCGTAGTCTTGATGTCGTAAACACCCAGGAGCGCCATAAAAACACTATGTAACATTCGTCTACTGCAGTCACACATGAGGCTTAAGAAAAATAGGCCCTATAACCATTGGCTCAAGAGTCAGGGACACTATCTCTTGTGTTTTTGTACCTCAAATCAGTCGGAGCCAATTCGGTTCGCTTGTGACATGAGACTACGACCCGTTACAGCTTAAAGGCTACTACTAAAATATCCCCCCACTCTAGAATTAGAAACGTCCCCATACTTAGGTCTCTAGATACCCAAAATACATGAACGCCATTAAAAACCGGGTCGGAACAATCCGTTAAGTTACTTTTTATTAGACAGTGGAACTTTGATCCATTTCAGATGGATCAACCTAAAACTCGCCTTACCTCAACATAACAATTATAAAACACACTCTAGAAATTTAAATTAGTACTCACATTGTAGCACGCTCAAGAACCAGGAAGTAAATAAGTCGGTGAGCAACTCAAGAATCAATAAAGTAACTAAAATGTATTTAATGTTAGTCAGTTTTAATAACAAGAACAAGTTTTTACTCTAGACTGTAAGTTCTCGTGAACCATTGGGACACTCTAGCTGTCCACCTTTCCACCGAAGGTTCACTCTAGTCCAGTTTAGAATAATACTCCAATCACAACAATCCAGTTCGTGGGAATGCGCTCGTCTCTGTTTTAGATGGGACAGCTCTACTCTCGATTATTATTGCTACTGAAATTGCGAATAGCAATTTCCCACTGATTTTTATAGCAACTTTCCCGCGATTGTCACTCGATCGTTCTGACTTCTCTTTTCTGATTTTCAGTTATCGCGAGAAAATCGTGCATGACAGGTTCCATTCGAAATTTTGAAAAATTAAATTTCACTCCAAAATCAAGTGTTTTTTGCTTCTCTCAAGGTCAAACTTCCAAATATGACCGACTGGCACAGATGGGTGGTGAATCACTGCTATAATCACAGGGCTTCTTTTTCTCAGCCATGTTCTTTTTGTTTTTGCCCTCGCTGATGATCTTTTCAAGGGCATGGGATGCAACCCGCGACGACCAACTTTCCGGATATTGGTTATCCAACCACTGCTCACGGTTGATTTTCATGGCTTTATCATATTCTTCCCATGTTGACGTACTGCGGAAAACCCGGTGAACAGTTCCTTCAATCACACTTCTCTTGTACTGAAGTTCCTTTCTGATAGTTTCATTAGCTTCTTCTGATGGGTCTCTTTGACTGTTGCTGTTTGTCTTTGTCCCCTAGGACTTAAATATTTAATTACCGAAGGCCAAAACTTCTCATCTACACCCCTCTGTACTGCGTCTCTCGCCCTTTCTTGTTTGACTTCAACGTTTTTCTCATCTGTCCTTGCCTTGTTTATCTCCGTTCTTAGAAGTTTTGTCTAAAAACTGTGTACCGCTTGGTTCGAAAACACCCCATTTTCCGGTACCCTGAACCTCAAAAAGTCAGGTATAATGTCGTTTTCTAGACAAACTCTCAAAAGTTTAACACGTTGGTGACAGTTGATAAATTTAACATATATGGACGCATAATCACGGACTAATTTCCAAATAAGTTTGTTTTTCAAAGTCCAAATCAAGAATGGAGGTGGGAGTACAACTGTGCTCATTGGTTTGCAGGCCACGAGGAATAAACCTCACGTGACACAAAGCAACTCAAATAACACAAGTTTAACTTTTAACTCAACCTCTCCGTTGAAGCCTCCTCGTCAGTCCGACCAACAGTTGCTTCGCCTATGTTCACCAGTCTTCTTTTGATGCTCCTTTGATGATCTTTAAAATTTGATTGCTTTATAGAAATTATGTAACAATTTGATATATATTCCTTTTATGAAAAATGTGTTTGACACATATTAGATTCGTAAGATTTTTAAACCTGAAGATGCACTAAAGTTTTGCGAAAACTTTTGTTTAATTTACAATTTTACCGTAATTTCAAAAAAAAATTGTAGGGAAAGTGTAATGAAGGAAATAAAAATCACGATGACACTAAAAATATGCTGGCGTGAATTCTTATTTTAAGTTTACTTGTAATTCTGTAAATTAATTTATGACATCTGAAATCATTTTCAAACGTTTTTCTGTAATGCATAGGTATCAGACTTTGGCTCGTTTGTGAATATTGCGTCTTTCGCTCTCTTTCTCTCAAAGATATCAGGGGTTAGAGACTTACTTTTTCTCAAGAATATTAAATCTCGCTCTCATTAAAATTTTTTGTTCGGTGAAGTTTGCTTGTTCTCACTACATACAAGAATCTAATTTGTTAGCTCTCATAAGTGGGTTTGTTCAAGGATTGGAAATGGGAGACGGTGACGTGAAAACTGAAAACGCCATTGAACCCAAAATTGAAGAAAATGGAATATCGAAGAGTCCACCTGCTTCCCGTCAAAGAGCTGAGAAGAAATTGCATCTACACAAAATTTTCCTTCCCGACTCGTTCAAAACATATGTCGTAGACTCTACTAAAGCTTTCGACAATATTGTGAAGTTGTTCAGAAGAGATATTCAAGATTTCAAAATACTATCAGTAGACAGCGAGAGCACCCATGTATCTTTGGCTAGCAGTACCAATAGTACTAGGAGCATCGACCTGTTACAGATTGGAACTCTTGGAGGGAGGGCGTTCTTGTTCAGGTTGGGTGATTTTTATTGCCAGACATGAAATGGGCAAAGATACTATTTTCCGCTGGATAACTGACGATTTTTAATATAAGCCTAGTAAGCTTCACAGGTTAGACGGCCCGCCATTTGTCCTAAGCTCTTTTAATAATGGTTAAATTATCTAACAAGCTCGAGTAACAAGACAGTTTGTTGCAAATCGTTCAATTATGCTTCGTAGATTGGCACTTTTGAAGACTTCTGAGCTGAACTACTTGCGCAACATCATGGCAGACCCTGGAATTGTGAAGATGGGATCCCTCTTTCAGAACAAAGCCAGACGACTCTTTAACGATTGGAACATCTACGTCTCTAACTGGATAGACGTACAGAATGTGGCTCTGAACTGCCTGGATAAAAGAGTGGTTGGAAAGAGTCAAGGACTCCGCAATATGACCAGAGTGAGAACATAATCAGTTTTTTTATGAGTTGATTGAAATTCTTCGAAAATATAAACCTTCTATTAAATGGTTGCCTAGATTTGGTGGGACGTAGAAACACACTTTAAGCCACTAAGACTATTCAAAAGATCATAAAAAAACATATATCGTAAGTAAATACCAAGAAATAAAAACAAGTTGAAGATTGGTTCATTGTAAACTTCGAAGAATTTGCTCTAGAGCCTTAAAATGAGAAGTTTTGATTTATCAACACGATCACGATTCAAGTTTTAAGTTTCTGGATTTTTATAGTGAGAAAATTAGTTTGGCTTCGAGGTTTAAAAAATTTAGGTGTTTTTTCTCTGCCATTTTTCTGCTTCTTCAGTTAGACCCGTGAAAGATGTAGATCATTTATCTATTTCATTCAATTAATTCTACTCTCTATGTTTTAAGGCCATCATCGAGAAAAAATTGTTTTGGCTTTCACTGTTCGCAACAATAATTTAAAAACTTTCTTCAGTTTACACCGAATTTTGTACAGGAATTTATACAGAAAATGTTGGATATGAATCATACGGTTAGGTAGCAGTATTTAGACAACCGCGTATTCAGACAGGTCAGTATTTAGACAAATACTGTTTTAACCAATGAGAATCGGGACAAGGAAGAAAGTAATATTTATGTCTTATCTAGATTATGATTGGTTCATAGAGTATTTGTCTAAATACTGACGAGTATGAATACGCGGTTGTCTAGATACAGACCGCACTCCGAATCATACGATGTAATCGCCAGAAAAAACAATGTCTTAATTTTCGTGAGTCATGAGCGAAAGATAGAAGTCTTTGTTCTTGACGAGGTTCTCATTTTTCATTGAAGGCCTTCGTGGGTGCTGAGTTGGAGGCATTTGACGTGCAATCTATGGGACTGTGGGCAGCAGAGGAACTGACCGAGACTCAGGTGAACTTCGCCGCGCGCAATGTCATCGCAATCATGGACATATTCTGCAGCATATACGCAAACAGGTCTGTTGTTTTCCTTCAATGTCTTGGTTTGTATAGAAAAATCATCGCTTATTAATGATAACTCATCAATCAGATATGACAGTTATTTACAAAAGTTAAATAAAGATCAGACAATAAGGTAGCGTTTTATCTAAAATGAGTTGAGGGTGCTAAAAAACCAGTTTTGACTCGGTAATTCGTTGAACTTTAACTATTTCCACCTGGGTCATACAGATATCACAGAACTAATGACTAATAGCTCTAATTTTTTTTTGAGAAAAATTGTTTTTTTTATAGTTAATGCCAAATTTTTGGCAATATCTGTGACCTTGAACAGTTCGGTCAAAAATTATTGCATTTTAGGTTAATTAGTTTTTCGAAAGCCGTTTTTACGCGTGGAAATCAGTAATGAGATGAAATTCGACGTCGAAATGAACAGTTTTGGATTAATTACTCTAGCGCCAGCTTAGTGTATTTTTAGGAATCTTCATTTTTTAAAAACCTAAGTAGCAAATATTGGTGCCACTATGTTGAGAGCCCCGAAATCGACTCCCCTAAAACAGCATTCCTAATCCACCAACTACGTAATCAAGAAATCGACAAACCAATCAGTATACGGGAGCGGAGACGATCGGCATTAAGCAGCGTTGATTCTAAGGAAAGCTTGGTGGAGGATCGAAGTAATTTACCGAAATCATCGGAGGACAAGAAATATAAATTTGAATTTTGCTAGGAAAGCTTCAAGTGGCGCGCATCCCTCATGCGGCACTTCAGAAAGACTCATTGTGTGACGAACAGGAAAAGCGTGACCTTATATCAAAAGTGTCACCTCACGAAGATTAACGGCGTGAGAAAAAGAAAGCTTCTGTGTGTCAAATGCAACGAGCTAATTTCCTATTAAGCATCTGTGGTTAGTGTGTGTGTGACTGTTAATCGCAAGGTCGCAGGTTCGAACCTCAGAGGTTGCCGAGTTTTTGCTAATTCGAGGCTTTTTTATTATTTTTCTTAATACACTTTATAAAGCTGCTTTTTCTCGTGTTCTGGCTAGTGTTTGCGAAGCGAAGCTTCTCCTTTTTTTTTAATCAAATGAACCGAAAAAAGCTAATTCTTTCAAACAACATAACAATAAAAAAACTCGATTTCAGAAATTTTCTAACTGATTATATCTCGCAATTTTGTGAAATGCATATTTTATAAATAACGTGGATTTATGCGTTGCGATTTGTTACAAAGATAAGTGGGTGTCTTCAGTTTATTATATTCCAATTTATTACTTGCAAAATTGTGTCTACTTGTTTTTGATGCCACTTTTTCTGAATCGCATTGGCAATTTATTAGCATATGTAGCTGCTTAATTCGTGACTAGTGTCTGCCGGTGGTTAAGAGAGCGTGGCTGAGTTGTGAGTGCAAGAGACTCAAAATCTCTTGATTGCTGTAGATCGCAGATTGAATCGAAGACCTAGCCAAATTTTTGCTAATTCGAGGCTTTTTTGTTCTTTTTGCACTTTCTAGAGCTGCTTTTGATGTTCGCGCTAGTGTTTGCGAAGCGAAGCTTCGCCTCTGTGTTAACTTTATTCAAATTCGTTGACAGAAAAGATATTGCAAACACTTTGGCATTAACAATACAGCAACCATTGTTTCGAAAGGGACATTTTTTAAGATGAGTATTCAGTGTTTGTGATGTCTACCTAGATTGAGACTACCTTCTGTGTCGATAGAAGAGATCAAACAACACATTGCGTGGACCAGATTCTACAGCAGTGCTTTCTACTCCGCATTCGCATAAGCAGTGCAACTGCCAATCAACCAACCGACCAAACAACCTGTTCAAAAACTAGAATCATTTTAATGGCAGTTTGAACAGTTCAGATAGACAACATTTTTGCTGCGTTGAAGTTTCCAATGATCTGTTGTGAAACATATTTTCTGGAGTGAAAATCTTTAATTTGTTGCATGCAAAATTTCTTCAAAATTGGTCATTTGCTATTTAAATGTTGCTTTTCTGAGCTTTCACAACTGTCTATATGCTAGACATAATTCCAAATGGAAGAAAATGATTGGATGAGTTGACTCCGTTTGACGCTTATTGGTCAGACAGACAAATTACAAAAATCTCTACTATCAGTGCTGCAGTTGGAAACTTGTAGTATAACTAAATGGACTCTTTTTATCAGTTAGAACATTTATGTAAATCTCGGATTTTTTACTGAAAAAAGCCCCTTTTCAAGTTTTCATGGGTTTTTTTTGAAGAGGTTATTTTTTATGCTGAGTTTATGTTTATAGACCAGCTCTTTAGTTGCTTTAGATAGCCTGTTGTGCGCATCTTTTTAAAAAACAAACAACAAAAAAGAGTTCCTTTCGTAACATTAATTTATTTAGTTTAACTGATTTATTTTCTTGGCTGTGAATCGCAAAATGTTTGACTTCCTTGTGAATGGCTTGACATATTCGAGGAAAATTAAATCTAAACATTGCTCATTTGGTTATTTTCGTTCTAATCAGTGAAGTTTTTGGCTAAGTAAATTCTTCCTCGTGTCTAATGTTGAAGGCAATCGGCACACCTAATTGATGATGGAACCGTTCCGCTACTGAGCCAGCGTTTATTTGCAGCTTTTGGATAATTTCAGATTCGAGACTTTAAGATGGGCCGAGAGAATCTCGTTAGAAATTGACTAAAGATGCTCCTTAATCGAAGTTATAGTACTTTGGAATCGTGCATTTGGTTCCCGTTCCAGTGTTTTTAAATTCCAAAGAATTAAAGAAAAGTATAAAAATATTTGACTCGTTCGAATTTTTTCCAGAAGCTTGACCATCATCCAGATGATGTGCCTTCATGACAGCGCAGAAGCCAGAATTGTCTGTAGCATTAAGATAATGCTTCTCCGGTTCACTAGTGTAGAATAAGGGGATTCCTTCGCAAGCTGTCCCTTTGGCAGTGAATTCAGCGGGGCGACCCAGATTCACTACTTTCTACAATCCCGAAAGGGTTGATTTGGTGGCAAAAATCCTGTATTGCTCTCTGTTGCTTGCCCCTTTTGTGTATTGCTCTTCCGGCTGTCTTGTCTACTCGATATAATCGCAAGAATTTCTAATTGTAATTTAATTCAGATGATTATACGTCTGATTACAGAGGGCTCTGAGTGGCCAGGTTATAATCTAATAACCAAATCAAAGGGAAAGGGTCTGCGATTTATCAGCATAAATTGTCTTATTGCAATTAACTTCAAGCTAACTCCACTAATATTGAACTATTCTCTCTCTAGAGAATCTCTGACGAGAAGCAACTAGTTACTATTTCTGCTGCAGTTGTTCTTTTACCAACTACTCGATTCGCTAGCAATACTTCTTCTATTCTCTGACGAGAACCAACTATTAATAGTTGCTAACACTGTTCTCTTATCTGACTGAGAACCAACTACTCTCAATAGTAGCTAACAACTGTTCTGACTCTTAAAGGCTATCCGGTACCTCCAATTCCTTATCTTTCTTTACACTTAGTTTTACTTAAGTCACCTCATTCCCTATCAGTCCTGACATCCGCCTAAATCACCCGTCCGCACATGTTTATCCGCAGAGTCTATATCTCCGCAGAGACTATATCCCTCCTCCTGTCAACTCTGTCACGTGCCAACTTCGGTTTCTTTTATCAATCTTTTCACACTTATTAGATACCCAGTATGCGGTAGCTGTCACAATTTGACCAAGCAAACAAATGTCATACGATTCTATTCCACCAATTCCTGAACTCCGTGAACTTCAGCTCTCGAGTTCAACTCAACTTCCAAACCATGCTATGTTTACTCAGTAATCCTCCCAAGGTCTTAATTTTAATTATCCCGTTAACGTTCCGACCTCGATAGGGTAGGGGAGACCTTTTTCATTGGTATCTAATTCATTCCAAGCATCTAAAATTTCTACCTGTACTCTATTATAATCACGACTTTCTAGCTATCAAAGGAACGTAGTTCGTCTATTAGGGGTCAAATCAAACCAGAAAGTCACCACCGGGAAGCCAAGTAAAATCCCCGTCCATTCATTTTATTTAGGAGACTAAATATACTGAGCATAAGTCAAACAATGAGACCATGGATTGATTTCTAAAAAATCAAATTTCGGCCAAAATTTTGAAAAGGGAAAACGTTTTTAAGTTGATTCATAGTAACACCTATACTCATTGCCGCCGCATCACTGATAAGACCAACATGTTCCGAAATCAATTTAAATTATGACGGCCTATAAAAGAAGGCACAAAAGTGTTGCTAGAAAATAGATCCAAACCACTAAAGTCTCAAAAGCTTTTGAATTTACGATCTGGACCTTATACCGTAATTGAAAAAATCACTGAAGTAACGTACGGAATTCAAAATGATTTCACTAATGAAAAAAGATTGTCCACCGCAATCATATTATTGAATACTTTCCTAAAGAACAACAAATGCCCAAACTATTGCAAGAGTACTCTAGTGATTTATTTTCAAGTGATTTTTATGATCATATAACAAATCAACTCCTTCAATAAATCTAATTAGGTTGAAAATCTACAATACCAGTTTTGGCCAGTAGTCAACAATGGTTATCCGCAAATGACTGATATTAAACCTACAAATGAGGATCAAAATAAAACCATCATACATGAACAATCATTGGGTTCAGGCAGAGAAACCATGCATCTAAGAACTTTGTTCGATGCGACAGCGATTGACCAAAATCTTCGACCTATTCGAAGTTCGACTCCCTATCCTATTGATAAAACCCCTAATCCGTCTACTAGTCAATCTAGTAGTTATGGCCACCGCCGCCTACCTAGCCGCAGTATAAGTCCTAACACTGTCCAATAAGTCCAAGTCCTTCAAGTGACTTTGGCCGCCGCCACCCCAATATAACAACACAATATAATACTACCTCCTGATTTCTCTCGTTTATCTGAATCATCTGATATATTTGCTGATAGAAAAATAGCTCTCAGGAAAGTTTCTATGAGAACACTCGATCCGCACCTGGATCACTTTGCGAATCTAAAAGACTTAAACGGACAAATCGTCCTACAAACTTTTATGGAACTACAATTCCATCTAGTTTAGTTGGTAATTTTAAAAAGAAATAATAAATGCTAACTGTTTATTTGGCCAAACATTCTTTTTGTTTGTAACTTTTTTTTAATGGCTTTTCTCTTTTTTCTTGATTTTTTGTAATAAAACAACAAAAAAACTCCAAAAACAAAATATTTTTAAATTGAACTTAAAAATAATTTTTATGAATATGCGAGTTTATATCCGTATAGGATTGCATCATTTTCACCGCCACCAATTTTCCTAGCGAGTTCTCTGCGGCCCTACTCAGGCTCCACTGCAAACTGCAGAGCTGAATAAGGCCGCCACCAAGCCTGATAAATTTCATCCAGCATGATATCGAACTGTTTTTGTTCTAAAGTCTTCTTATTCTGACCTTTTGAAGAATTCTTCTTGAAACTAAAACTAATATATATATATATATACCTATACTCTTTCTATGTTGCCATTCCACTTAAATAAAAGTTTTCTATTTCCATTTTTTTATGGGTGTATAGTTAAAGAAACTTACATCCTGCCCAAAGAATAAGGACAAAAAGTCCATCGTCTCCTTTGAGACCACGTCTCCAATCCATGCACTCCAAATTTTTTTTGCAAGATATTTGCTCTGAATTGAGCATAACTCGAATAAATCTCCAGAATTCAGCACCGGATAGCTCCAGATGAAACTCCTATCCATCCACGGCATCATTTCCATTGGTCTTAAATTCAACCCCTTCTCGAGCAGTCCATCATATATCCCCACCTTCCTTTCAATTTCCTTGTCCTCCAGCAAGGCTCCGTACGTAAAGTTCAACTCGTCTCCTTAGTTTAAAAATGTCTCCGGGAAATCCACCGGCTCGACGAAATTCATTTTTAATGAGAATTTTTTTTAAAAATAATAAATGATAAATGAAGTTTAACACAAAGAGCAATGAAATGATGTTGCTTTTAGTCCTCTTTTATGAAGAGATGTTTTTCTTCTTTTTTTCCCTCCTACAATCGTGAAAGGGAATGCAGTTGTTAAACTTAAACAACAGCATAATCGAATAAAATCTTCGCTGCTACATCTTAACAAATCAAAAAATTGAGTAGAAAAACCACGACATTAAAACACGAGTGGAAAAACCAGAACATTAAAAGCGAACGCCGGAGGATATACGACTTAAAACGAGTCACCTCCGAAAGACGCCGAAACACAACGGCCAATCAGAGCTTAGATTTGCAAAAAAGCAAAAACAGCCTTTAAAAACTAACTGATGTACAGTTACTTTCATTCTCACTCAATTCCACATCCTGCATTCTAAACCTCCTCTTTACAAATAATAAACTTACTAAAATCCTCAACTAAAAAAAAATTAACTCAGATTTCTCATCAAATGACAAATCGAAACATTGAACTAGAGGAAGGTGAACTGATGGACCAAGATCCCGTTCTAACAACTCTCGAGGATTTGCTTAAAGATATACCAACAGATTCAACTATGGAAGCAACAATTGACGACGACTTGAGAGATTTTGAGGATCTTTTCTCCCTCCTACCGCAAACCGATCCACTGGACTCGCAGCTTTCAGCACCGACTCAACAACCAACTGTTTCCATTACTACGACCCCTACTGCAGCGCCGGCCTCAGCACGATCATTTGTTGTACCACTGTCTCACACCACTTCAGCTGTCCAAATAGCTACAGCATCAAAACCACCACCCCTAAAAGTTTCACCCCCTAATTTCAAATACCCTTGGTTCCCTCAAATTCTCGAATTAAAAAACGAACCCAGATAGTAAGAACATAAAAGATACTAACGGCAAATACGCCGGTATCAGTTTCTCAACACCCAATTACCATTAGGCGACAGCCCTTACACGCCACTGATTTAAATACTAAGTTACATATTCAGTTAGATAGGGAACGGTACATAAATTCCAACAGTAATCCCGGCTT